CATGGAATTTTATGGAATCAACATTGGCTTCCCGTTTCGCGATTAACAGGCCGAGTTCCACTCAACTGCCGGGGATCGTTGTTCCGCGGTTTTAGAAATCGACGTCGCATTCTGCAGCGATTTTCCGCGACAGGTTGTATAAACGCTTGTGACAGTGATCTCATGGGTGGAATGCAAAGACGGCAGGCGAAAGGTCTCGCGCGCTTAATAGCGCGCAGAGGGCTGGCGTTGGCCAAGAAACTAGTCCCGGTGGAAATTTATTCCGGTGAAGCGAGAACAACAAATTACCGGCCGGTAGTAGTCGATCTCTCCTAATACGATGCGACGGGAATGCCAGGGCTTGAAATGCGCGGCATCGTATCAATACTACGGAAGATTGGCGACATATATATATATATATATATATATATATATATATATATATTGACAGTACGCTGGAAAGTAAATCGATTGTTCCGATAGTGACTTCGTATAATTAATTGATTTGGAAAAATAAAAAAAATAACGTTAAGCGAATCGTACCATCAGAATATAACGGATGACACTTCTAATTAGCCTTTTTTTAAAAAGTATTCTTTCTTTTGTTTAAATATACATTTTTTTAATTATATACATCTTTATAAAAGATTAAATAATTTTTCTATGTTTTTATGAAAGTTAAGAAAATTAATTCGGTATACGAACGACGTATAATGTGTGTAATAAAGAACCAAAAACTCGTCACTTATTATTCCAATAATTTTTTTTACGCACGAATAAGTAAAAATAGATGCTTCTTATCACTACCGTCTATCTTTCGTTTTTAGAATACTGATCAAATTGATGAATGCGTTGATTGCAGATCGCAAAGTAGTGTCCTTCGTTCGTTAATCGCAAGGAGAAGCACAACACAAGTCATGGAAAAGGATATCTAAGAAAAAGAGGGAAGAGAGGAAGAAAGAGAAATATAATAAAAGAAGTCATGGCAGAGGAGCCTGCTTTAGCCAGGACAGATCCCGCCGGGACGATAACACGAGGACACATCGCCACCTCGGCGCGACGATCGTAAAACTTGGTCAGGTAAAGGCGCGGTCCGTTTGAGACCTGCTGCTAGGAGGACGGACAGGAGCTGGTTATAGGCTAGGTATTATAGTTCTGGACTGCTGTCGGTCTATCTCGCGAGGGATGCGCGTCCCGTACGCGTATCCTTCGGGGTGGTCCTGGCGACGACATCGGTTCATTAATCGGCCAGATACCCGAGAAAAATGCGCTTTTACGACTACTCTGCCTTCCTCACTCTATCTCGCCTTCGCTCTATTTTTCTCTTTCTCGATCTCTACCTCGCACACGGTGTCACTCCACCAGTTTTGTGAGGGAGACTAGCTGCTGATAGCTTATTATCGTTACCGAGGAGATCTCAAGAGAGGGAATTGAGTAATTACACGTATAGAATTCGATTAACGCAACACTTGACGATGTTGTTTCGGTTTCGCTCCGGAAGTCTACGAATGCGACTACGAATTACACAAGTTCGAGGCACCCTGTATCTAATTGCCCCAGATCCTGGACGTTTTGAATTCTAATCGCTCGTAATCTATATAGATTCCTTGAATTCTGGATATCTTGAATCATTGTCTCCTTGAGTTCCTCGCGCGGATACCAAATTCCTTCACGATTCTGCAGTCTTCAAGACTAGACCCGAAATTTTTAATAATACACTTGACACAAATTTCGCAAAAATATAAAATGAAAACTACATTTCTCCTATAAGCTTATTCAAATAATGTGCTATATTAAGTTCTCGCTAACTCTATTTTCGTTAACCGACCGAGTGCAATCTGCGTGACATAACTTGCGGTGCTGGTGTAAGTATGACAGTGCAGTCATCGTATGTGTGCGTTAGTTGCGCGCAGAAGAAACATCGGTCAGGTAACAAGAGTGCTAATGAAGGATAGCCAGGTTCTTATGAGCTTCTCCTGAGACCAGCACCTGTCCTCCCTTGGCACACGTATTTTTCCGATGAATCGTACGCACTCTGGTCTCTGGACTTCTTCTCATGTAATTTTTTATAAACCTCCATATTGTGCAAAATGAGAACAGTCAGCGAAAATTTTATCTGATTATTTCCAAAAGATTTTGTTTTATTTGAAAAATATCAAATTGACTAAAAAAGGGGATCAAGAGTAATGAATTTTCTTCATCTTAATTATAGTGATAAATTTAAAGCTATCCTGATTATTATCAAACCAAAATGAATAACATTACGTATCACGATATTTAAGACCCGGAAATTGTTCTCCGGCTTTTAATGCCCGCGGTTTGAAAGAATTGTGCGGTTTCTGCGATATCTCGTGTATATCATTCGTCGCGAGTGGGGTTCGTGCCACGAGAGCTGAATGCGCGTTCTCTTACTCGGCCAGCGAGCGGAGAACGATAAAGCACGGCGGTTTCGGTGCGTCTCGTGAGAAAACGACGCACATTTTTAACGCGCGTCACGTCGGTACGCGCTTTCGTACGCGCACGCATACACGCAGCGACCGACACACTGCGAAAAACACTAGCGCGGCTATTAATTCAGAGACCGGGGGACAGAGAGCGAAAGCTGCAAAGGAGCAAAATGAGCGACGCTTCTCTCGGTTCCTTGGGGCCCTAAATAAAAGAAAGGAGAAAGATTTAAATAAAAGTAAAATCGTGTCGCCGCGGTCGCGTGAACTACCCGGGCTCCGAGGATATGAGCTGGGGAATCCGCGGGAACTCTTCGCTTCCCTCGGGGGAACCCCCTCACGGAGAACCTGTCCTGTCCGACCGTCGGGATCGGCTTTCCTTCCTTTGCTCCTCTTTGCTCGTATCGCGCGCGTTTCACGCTTTTGCCGGATGTTATCTCGCGATCGCTACCACAGAGAACGAAAGAGAAAAAGAGAAAAGAAGAGAGAACGTCGGGACGTTCACATTTCTACAATGTCTCCGGAAGATTGATAGATAAATGGACCATTTGATATATACTGTACTTAAGATATATATCTTAAAGAGAAAAAGAGACAAATCGCCGGATTTGTTTAATTGCATATTAAATTTAAAAATAATTTTTAAATAAACCTGTTAAGATGTATATGCATTTACATAAATATATAGAATGCATGAATGAAAACAATTCTCTCATTAGGGTTTTTAATTAAAGACAATCCAAAACTTTCAATGTCCAAAAACTGTAGTAATTGAAAAATGTTTCCCGGAATTATATATTTATATTTATTCTATTATATAAAAGTTTTTGACTTTGCAAAGTCCTGGGAAACTTTTACTTTCTAGAAGATATACTTCTTCCTTTTCTTTCTTCTTCTCGTGTTTCGGTCGATAAATTTTAAGGGCTCTCATTTACATATTGAGATTAAATGAGGTACCAGAACGTAACTACCCAATTATGCTTAAATATACTTTTTGATCAATTCTTATAGTTTTTAAAGTAATCAGCGTATGAATGACATAATAAAGAAAAATTTTAAATCTTATATTGTGACGTTTTTAATCTTCACAAACTTCTCCTTTAACGATTATAAATTCAAGCTTGGTGAACATTTTATCGTAGATAGTGAATTGTCTCCAAACAATACTCTTCTTACTTTTCAGTAGTTCCGAAAAATATATTGGTTCTCTATGATAATATCTAAAAGGTATTATCACGAAATATTTTCAGAATTTTCTCAGAGTATTCTCGTTCTCGGAATATCTTCGTTTTCTGAGAATATGCTTTCAAGAATATTCTCGGTGCGCATCACTAGTTACAAGCGGTTTAATATTACTTAAGAGAGATTGGTGCTGGAAAAAAGGAACATTACTTTCCCACCGGCTCGGGAAAGATGGCAAAACGGCGCTCGACACCCCACAGTGCACGGATGGGTGCACGGATGGGTGCTCGTCGAGGGCAGAAGCACGCCTGACCTCCCAGCAGACAAATTAAAATGATGCACTGGCGATTCCACGCGTTACTCGCGAAAACTTCTTCCTTCTTGCCATCTCGAAACTATTTCAGGATACGCAAAATTGAGCAAAATATTGTTTCGTCGGCGATATTTCTCGAGTTCCAGGAAAGGCCACTAGGCGATATTCGCAAAAGACTTTTTGTTGTAATTAACAAAATAGAGTGATTCGCGGAAGCTATTTGTTATTCGACAACTCTAATCCGAGAATCAAGCATTGGCAAGCCTAAAAATGAAGTCAGTTCAAGAATTAAAGACCAAAGGTTCAAGAATTCAATCTCTAATAATCTAAATTTCAAAAGAATTATAATTTAAAAAGAAAAATTTTTAGTAAAATATTTATACAATTTTTATCTGATAAGGTAAATAAAGAATAAATACATTTTGCTCAATAAAGTCATCTTGACTTAATTTATATGGTAATAAAGAACGTTTATTTGCCGTAAAAGCAAAAACAGTCGATGTAAAATACAAACAAAACTTGTTATAAATGACTATAGTTTTTTTTTTTACTAAACGCGCCTAACTTGGTGACTAACGCGGGTCTGTTTTTAATTGCTTTAGGCAATTTAAGAGGACAGGCGACCACAGAATGGGGTTATAAAAATGTGTGGATGGACCACCCTTGAAATGTTGGGTGTTCTAAAGCATTTTATTAGCGCCTTCACACAATTTTATATTTCATCTATTAGTGATAAATTTTGTATTGCAGGATCATTAAATTAATTAGTCGATCAACAAGCGTAGCCAAATACAATTAACTCATTTGTTTATCTTGTGACACATTCAAACATTGAAATTTTATCACTTTGAATCATAATTTATATCTATATATTATCTCTTACATTCATACTGGCCAATTTATTATTAAAAGATAGAAATATTAATTCCTTATCTAGAATATTAAATAACAGTGCTTTTAATATTAAAAATAAGAAATGAATTATTATTGTCTCTTTTAGCATGAAAGCCAATTAAACGAAATTTCAAGTAAAACGATTACCATCCCTATTATTCCAAAATCAAAATAGAACTTTGACTTACCCTATCATACTGATGTGTCGTCGTGGCCGCCGGAAAGGGTTGGAAAGGCGCCGGCCTGGCTGGACTGTGGTGGGCCGCATGCGGATTCGCGTGAGGGTGACTGTGCGGGGCCGCATGAGGATGGGTCGGATGCGGCGGCGGTGGCCGATGGGTCTGGTACAGGTAAGGATAATATTGATACATCACATCGGAGCAGCTCATCACCCCGCCCGGGCCCGGCACCCCAGAGCTGGCCTGTAGACCTGCGTACCCGAACGTCGCACTACCCTTTCGAACAACACCACTCCTAAAATTGTTCTTCAGCTCGGTTGATGGCTCACGATCGGATCAAATCAATTCGAAATCATCCCAAGATCACTAAAGTGATTAAATCGTCACTAATGATAATGGTCCATGTTATAGTATACAATGACAACGAGGTAGTACAATGTAACGTCAACAATAACGTCGTTTCTTTTAATACCTTTATCCTTCTGCGCTTCTTCGATAGTTTAATACGATTTATTTAAATATTTTAAATTCTTTAAATTAAATTAACGGTGTAGCTAACAATACACTGTTTATAAAGAAAATGAAATGGCTTGTATTATTGTGGATAGTCTTATCATTTTTTTATTTTTGCACCATTTGCAATCACTTAAAATCCAAAATTTATCAAACTACACGATATTAACTCACAAAGACGCGTGATTCAATATTTATAATCATTTCAGACTTCTTATTTTTATCTAATTTTAATACGTTACCTAAATATATGTTCATTAAAAAAGGAAGGAAATATTACCAAAAAGTGAGAGAGATAATTATGAAAAAGATAAGATATTGCAAATCAATCACAATAAGATATACTTATCAATCTCTTTTAAATATAATAATGATCGTTTCTATCAAAAAATGCAAAATGTATTATAGCTGATAATAAACAATTTAATAAAAAAATAAGTAATTTTGATTGTTCTTTCTCAGAAATCATTGAATCACAGCGAATCACAAAACTACACGATAATAATTTTTCGAACCAACTAAGCCGATGGAAAAGAATGAACGAATCGATCGCTCTTCTTCTTTTTTCCTCTACAAGCACGTCGGTTGAATACAAAAAGATTTAAGTAGTTGTCATTAACTGAATATGTCAAATTATTGAACATATCTTCAACTAAAAATTTCACTAAACTGAGAAAGACATATATGAAGATATCTGAAAAATGCTTGCATGACACTTTCTCTTCTATTATTTTTATATTACCTCACTTTTCAAAATTTTCTTTTATAATCTTTTTTCCAGTAATTAGCCTTTGTAACATTTTCTTTTTTCCTTCTTTTTTCAAAATTTTTCTGTGTGAATCGATTACCACTGATTTCAATTCTGTGTCGACCACTTGCGATGACGGACACAATTTGACCCCATGACTCCTAGTTCAACAAATTTCAATTGTTCACAATTTACAGTTTACAAATGAAGATACTGTCTCGATCAAACTATTCAATTGCTTTCTTTTATTAAAACTTTATCGACACTTCACTTAACTAGTAGCTACCGTCCTCGTCATCACATGTGTCGCATGGTCAACTGCGATTGAAAACGACACTCACCACTTGCCTCACAATTGTCCTCAATTACCTATATATATATATTTTTCAAAGATTCTCGATAATACCGCCTTCAATAGTAAGATCACGCTCGTTCAATCGCGACACATTCTTCGAATTTAAGGCAAAAGTCAGACGGTTCTCTTGAAGAACAAGAGAATGAGCAGTGGCGAACGAAAAGCAAGCCCTCACCCTCGCAACGTGAACGGAGCGTATCGCCGATGGTGGTGTGTCTCTGATGGGTGAACACAAACTGAAACCCCCCCCGTACGCGACACCGTGTGTCCTCACCCTCTCTCCACAGAGCCTGTCGCTGTCTTTTTCTAGAACCGTCCCGTCGTTTTCGAGCGGAGCGGCTGACGTTGGTATTCTCTTTCCCCTTTACCATCACCCCAACACGTTGGGACCGCGGCGGCAGGATCCGCCTCCTGGCAGTGCCGACATCGGCCAATCACCGTGCTCGATCGTCAGGGCCAATCGCACTTGGTCTGCCACTACCACGACCTCTCCCCGTATTGATCCCACAATGAACCCGACTGCAGCTGTGGTATTAAGAAGTTCGTACTCGGGTTAAACCACCCCCGCCTAAACCTCCTTCGCTCCCTGTCCCCTTTCCTCCCTCTGGCTTCTTCGTGGTCTTCATCCTCCACTACGGCCACCTTCCTTCTATCCCGGACAGCCATCCCCCGCAGCGTGCATAATGAGTCTTAATTAACAGTTTCGCGGTGTTTTGGGAAGCTTAATTTGCCGTAGTGAAAAGAGAGAGAGAGAGAGAAGGAGAAGGAAGAGGAAGAAGATGGCGTTTTCAAGATAGAATTCCTAAGGAAATGTTGCTGTCGTAGTAATCACATTTTTACGCGGCATCAACCAATCGCTTTTTGTAGTTTAATTTTCACCACATTTGAAATGTTAAAAACTAAGACGAATAACATTTTAAACTTTAAACTTCCAGGATAATTGAGGAAAAGGATAGAAAAAAGAAATATGTTCCATTTAAAAAAAAAGTTAAGAAATACTAAAAAAAAAAGAAAAAGAGAGACGAGCACAAAAATAATAAGCACATAAAATCGTTTCAAGTGAAAGCAAATATACGTATATACTGCTGCGTTTTATTACTTCTTATTTAATAATCGTGTTACATGTATTTGTAGAATAAATGATACAGTTAAATATATTACATTCTAATTATTTAATTATTCTAACTGCATTTATCATCATATTTCGTAGATATATACATATAGATGTATATTTTATATTTATGTGTACATTTTCTAAGAAGAAGCCAAATTTAGAAAAATATTTTTTAATTTAATATATGTATAATAGTAAATATAAAGTAAAATTTAATATTACAAAGATATCAAACTAAATTTTATTTTTTTTTATCTAGCTTTTCTCAGCTATTTTATGTTTGATCTCTTTAAATGACTAGCTCGAAGCGTGTGCGAATAATTCGAATTCGAATAAAATCGAATTATAATAGATTTAATTCGATTCGATTTCGAATCTGACTGAGAGATAAGTTCAAAATTTTAAATAGCGCGTTGGTAATTCAAATTTGAATCAATCGCCTATTTTATTTGCTTCATTTATGCATGACTTTCGTAAATTAAAAACTATTTATTTTTTCGTTTATATTTAAAAATCTAGAAACATGTTATGGAACACTTTATTAATTTTAATTTAGTTTTAATGTAAATTCAGAAAAATTTGACTCAAATTTAATTTCTTTTCGAACATATTATCAAATATTCGATTCAATTCGGGACTTTTTGATGATTAGGTTATTTATACTTTATTGAAGATCTCTAGGAAATTATGAAAATCATTTCTTCTATATTGTGTTCTGATGCGGAAGGATTCAACTGATACTTCTCTTCTTCAGCGAAAATTTGATGAAGAAAGAAGAGGTGGACTTAAACTAGCACCGGAAGAATTATCCTCGTCTAATATATTGTTTAATTGGTAATTAGATTGTATTTCAGATTCGGAAGCCACGGTTTTCATATTGTTTGGAGACCGCAAATCTATTGCCCAAAAAGGAAAATCGAAGTCTTCCGGTGGCGTCGAAAAATGGTAGAAGCTCCCTTAAGCTTGGAACATTCGAATCCTAAATTTAGAACGAAATTTGTATGATCCTTTTTAAATAATATTTATAACATATTTATAAATTATATATATACATATAATTGATTATGTTATACTACAAGTTTCTAATGTTTCTAAATTTAATATCAAATATTTTTTAAAATGTTATCAAATAATCTTTTCTATAAATTTTAAACAATAATAGAAAAAAAATTTATCTACGTCTAAAACGATTCATACAGTACGAATAAATCAAAAAGAATGCGTAATTATGAATATCATGAACAGTTTCCACTAAAGTGGATCTATAACAGTACTTCTCTCCTTTTTCTCTAAAATTTTCTTTCCTATAAAAAAAAATCGTTATCTCAAATTTGATTATTTTAATAGAGTAGGTCACATATTTAAATTCTATTCTTTTAATAAGGAAATTTTGAAATTTTTATGTTTAAAGCACTTAATTAATTTTTTTATAATTAATTTTAATGTCGTTATCTTCAGGTTAAACAAGTACTATTTTAATACAGTTCAAAGAAATAGATTAGACATAGTGTTTAACAATAAGATTAATTAAAAATGTATTTTTAATGATAAGAAGAATAAATAGGAAGAACATCTCTTAAAAATAAAAGTCACGGAATAATCAATTGTTTAATATTAATTAAATTTCGTGATAAATTTTCAGCACTGGCAGTTGTATATTGGCATACAGACTATACAAGATGTTTATAATGTGTGAACACACAACTTCAGAAATTAATTCAAGGCACGAAGATAACATGAAATACTTATATAAATGTTTATTTTATCTTTTGTTTATTTTAATTATAAATATTTTCGTGTTTCGTTAACTTTCATTACAAATTGAATTAGCGTATAAATGTCTGTATATATGTATTCACGCGTCTTCGAGTGTTACTGTTTTAAAAAAAATGTATGAAGATACTATTCTATTCTATTGCTCAGTTTGTTAATAAGACTTAATGAAACAGTAAAACGACTATAATTCTGAAACAAAAAGTTAAATAGAACAAATGTTTATATGAACTTTTTATGTCATTTTTATATTCTAAATTAATTTCTGAAGTTATTCCAACATCTTATATAAAATATTTCATAAGTATAAAACTAGATCGTTAATTCCATATGTTAAGGCGATATTAACTCGTATAGATATTAATTCGTATGTATAAGGCGTCTTCATTCTTATGTTACCTACAAGAAATAAACATATTCAATAGATATTTGAATAAATAATGAAATTAAAAATAAAATAATATAATAAATTCGCTCCTTTTTGTAATTTTCATCAAGTTATGTGATATACATCAAACTCGTAGATACAATTCATACATAAGAAGACGTCTTATATTTAAAGAGCTAACAGTCTAGTATTATTATACAATATAAACTATATTTCAACCAACACAGTATTAAAAATCTAGTATATGTAAACTTGAATTATAGATTTTTACTATTTTCTGTTTCTTTTTAAATCTTTTTTCTCTTTTCTTTTCTAAAGCGTTCAAAAATTCTCCGTAAAGAGAAATATTCTCTCAAAGTGAAAACATGATCATAAAATATACATTTAAAAAATATAAGCACTTATTAATAAAATAAAAACAAAAAAAATTTAATTACACTATTACTATATTTAAAAACTTTTACCGTTTTATCATACATACAGGCCATTGTGATTCTTTATCGTTCTGAGCAACTGTATATGCAATGATGCAAGATAAAACCAAAATGACAGTGAGCAGCTTCATCTTCAATATTAATTTAAAAAATAGAGAAGAGATTATAAGAGCACCGATAAATGATTCGAGCTAAGAGCAAATACAACTGTCAAACGAAAGACGGCGAATTGCTTAAATAAGGCTTCAGATCTTTAAGCCAACGTCATTCTCACGGGACATCACCGTCTTATTATTGTTACACGTGTTTTTTGCGTCATAGAAGCAAACAGCTGCTGCATTCAGAACATTTGCGAGACAAAGTGAGGGATTTCCATGACATTTGTGACCTTTCTGTATTAATTACGTAGTCTTTATCACTCTTTCATTGCTTTTCTTATCTCTCTATTACGATAGCTATACATAAGCGTGTATTCATACAACTTTACTTCATGATATCATTTATTTCGATATCAAATTTTTGCATGCATTTGAAAGCACATATTTTAAGAGTGTTAGTAGTTAGAGGAAATAAAAAAACCGGGAAAAATCAGGAAATTAGTTTACATAAAATAAAATTAAATAACAATAATATTTCTAATTTAAACTTTATTTCTGTTGCAAAAAATATTAAATAGAATTTTTTTAAGTAATTTACAAAATAAAATAAACTCAACAATTCTAATAGATAGATTACATGTTCTAATAGATATATATGTTCTACAATAATTTATCTAAACTAAATTACTTAAATCTGTTACCACATTTATTATTTAAATAAAACGTAAATTTTGTAATTTTCACATGACAATCATATATTTCATTTAAAACATTATTTTGCTAGTACATAGGTAATAAATATTAAGTAAAAAGACTATTACTTATATTATATTAAAAATGGAGATGCAATTTGTAAGTACGATTGTTACAATTGACAGTTTAAAGCATTGAGGAAAATAAGTTCGAATAGTGAAAGTATTCCTATTACTGCACGAGGGTTCCCCGATGCGAGAGAATGTCACATGAAATTTGCCGTTGGGAATTACCCGCAGCGATAAATGACACAACGGGAACTATATCTGGGAAAATTAAGTACATCCCCGGGATTCTAAAATTCGTATATAAGCAATCGAGACAAGATGAACAAGCATCAGAAGTTGTTTCATACTTTCAAGCAGAAACATTTCCTACTTTGAGAAAAGAATAGTTAGTATCATCATGAAGCTGCTAGTTTTTGTCTTGGCCATATCATGCGCTGTCGCCTATACAAGCGCTGACTTATCGGGGAAAACATTGCCATCGCAATCGATCGGATCAGTTCTTCCACCACATGTAAGTAATTGTTATATCATAAGTAATTTGTTACCCAAATAAATCAAAGTTGAAAATCATGTAAATACTTTTCTTTAAACGTGAGTTTACAATTGAATTGATTCTTATAAATTTTTCTTTATTTTATATTTGAATACTAAATATTTGAAGAAAATATATTATAATTAAAATAAGATTTAAATAACTGTAAATAATTTCTCTCTAAGCGCGGGCATTGAATACTGCATCATCTGATGTCTAACATGACAAATTGATGATACGTGACTATGCATTTATTAACGCATTGTACATTGCACTATAATTATCTCGCATTTAGCGTTACAAAGACACTTGTTACACCTGCAGCTTGTCATAAAAATTCCTGTTTGCTCACCATTATTCAGATTATGACGTTAGAAGCGAGAAAATACATAATAAAAATTCTCATGACAGTCAAGAGCCTTAAAATAAGATTTTTTGTTTTAAAAAATGTCTTTGTGAAACATTTCAAAATAATTTCTCTATTATTTTTGTGTATTCAATATATAACTTATCCTAATAAATAAATATCAAACTTTACTTATATAAATATAGGAGAGAATAAGGGAATTGCAAACACGGGATAAATGCGCACAATACTATTGCAGTATATTAGACTAATGATTTTGTTAAAAAAAAGACATGACGCGCGCGCGTATGTGTGACAAAGAATCACAAGGAATGTTGATTTTTTCTCATAGGAACTGCATTTTCCTCGTCACGCCAAGCTACCCAACCTACAAATCGAGGAACCAAAAGAAAGTTCAATAACATTTCAAGAAACGCAGCCTTTGAGTGACCCACAACATCAACCAACTTGGAATTTCAACGACAATGCCAATGTTTTTAACAACGAACGCACAACGGCAGATGTTTACGATGAATTGAATAAAATACCTGGACAACAAGTGCAGCCACACTTTGGCAACCAAGCTGAAAAAAATTTCAGCAAAAATGGCTTCATCGGAGATCATACTGAATTTCAACAAGATCCGCAAGATCATAGACTCTCTCCCTCGGTTGATGTAACTAATGGTTTCCGATTCAGAAGAGAGGCCGAACCTCAAGGTTCAATAACCTTCCAAGGAACGCAACCTCTGAGTGGTCCAATGCGTCAACCTAGCTGGGATCTCAATGTTAATCGTAATATCTTTAACAATGGTCGCGCAACCGCAGATGTCTATGGAGGATTAAATAAAGTACCTGGACAACGAGTACAACCGCACATCGGCATCCAAGCTGAGAGGAATTTTGGCAATAACGGTTTCATCAGAGGCCATGGTCAACTTCAGCCTGGTCCTAGAGGTCACGGGGTTTCTCCTTCAATTGGTGTAACTGGTGGGTTTCGATTCAGAAGAGAGGCCGATCCTCAAGGTTCAATAACCTTTCAAGGAACGCAACCTTTGAGTGGTCCAATGCGTCAACCTAGCTGGGATCTCAACGTTAATCGTAATATCTTTAACAATGGTCGCGCAACCGCTGATGTCTATGGTGGATTAAATAAAGTACCTGGACAACGAGTGCAACCGCACATCGGCATCCAGGCTGAGAGGAATTTTGGCAATAACGGTTTCATTAGAGGTCATGGTCAACTTCAGCCGGGTCCTAGAGGTCATGGGGTCTCTCCTTCAATTGGTGTAACTGGTGGGTTTCGATTCAGAAGAGAGGCCGATCCCCAAGGTTCAATAACCTTCCAAGGAACGCAACCTCTGAGCGGTCCAATGCGTCAACCTAGCTGGGATCTCAATGTTAATCGTAACATCATGAACAATGGCCGCACAACCGCTGATGTCTACGGTGGATTAAATAAAGTACCTGGACAACGAGTGCAACCGCACATCGGCATCCAGGCTGAGAGGAATTTTGGCAATAACGGTTTCATCAGAGGTCATGGTCAACTTCAGCCAGGTCCTAGAGGTCACGGGGTCTCTCCTTCAATTGGTGTAACTGGTGGGTTTCGATTCAAAAGAGAGGCCGATCCCCAAGGTTCAATAACCTTCCAAGGAACGCAACCTCTGAGCGGTCCAATGCGTCAACCTAGCTGGGATCTCAATGTTAATCGTAACATCATGAACAATGGCCGCACAACCGCTGATGTCTACGGTGGATTAAATAAAGTACCTGGACAACGAGTACAACCGCACATCGGCATTCAAGCTGAGAGGAATTTTGGCAATAACGGTTTCATCAGAGGTCATGGTCAACTTCAGCCTGGTCCTAGAGGTCACGGGGTTTCTCCTTCAATTGGTGTAACTGGTGGGTTTCGATTCAGAAGAGAGGCCGATCCCCAAGGTTCAATAACCTTCCAAGGAACGCAACCTCTGAGCGGTCCAATGCGTCAACCTAGCTGGGATCTCAATGTTAATCGTAACATCATGAACAATGGCCGCACAACCGCTGATGTCTACGGTGGATTAAATAAAGTACCTGGACAACGAGTACAACCGCACATCGGCATTCAAGCTGAGAGGAATTTTGGCAATAACGGTTTCATCAGAGGTCATGGTCAACTTCAGCCTGGTCCTAGAGGTCACGGAGTCTCTCCTTCAATTGGTGTAACTGGTGGGTTCCGATTCAGAAGAGAAGCCGAAGATGCTGATAAGCGCCAAACAGTATAAACAAATTTTGGGCTAACAATTATTTAATTGTCATTTGACTCTTACATACGAAAATATAGGGAAAAACTGCCATTCAATTATCTATAAACTGTAATGTTACTATTATTTATATACTAAATATGTATTATTCTTCATATTATTTAAAGATTATGATATTTTGAGGCTATTTTAAGAAGTGTGTAATATAAGGAAATATACACATATACATACATAAGTATATATATGATACTATTTATATGCTTAATATGTATACTCTCTCTTTAAAAAATACATATAATTTTTTAGTGAAAGTTAATTTTTCTTAAATTCTGTCACCTAATTCCTACTATTTGCAGAGTAAACTGGTAATTATTATGGTCGAAGGGTAGTATCTCGGCAAACACTTGACCGTATCAAATCGCGTCCAACGTCACCAAATGATATCGAATTTCGCGTGTTACTTAGTAGGTCCGAACGATAGGCAAACCCAATAAGTCTCAACAAGCGTGACAAGAGCGTCATGTTTTTTTCGCAAGGGATCTTAGAACATGACGATTAAACATTTTAGCCTGAGCATCAGGAGCATGCAGTCATTCTGCACGTGGCCACTGCAACAATAGACAAATACAGGGGAAATAGGGCGAGGTGCACCCCCCGCTATCTAATAGCTGGGCATTAAATTTGTCAGTAATATTACCAAGGGGAGAGTCGCTCTTGCCCTTGCCCTTTCCGGATCATGAATGGAGCGAGACAACTGAAATATGCCGCCGTTCGTGCTTTCATCCCCTCGTAATGTTACAAGGGATACGGCTCGAATAAATGCCGGTCAACGGGAAGGGAGATATGAAGACACTGCTCGAACAAACCCTTGCGTTTTGAGATGTTCTTTTTCATTACATACGTGCCAGTAGCAAAATTGGCGATAGTCTAGCTACTTGGCGATAATGAAAAAAAATGATAACAGAAGAATATAATATCCACTGGAAGATATTAAAAATGTAAAAAAAAAAAGCGTTAAGTATATTTGCAATCTTAATGTAAAATCATTTTGTAAGTATATTTAAAAACATAATTAAAAAACTCAATGTTCGCAAAAATATTTTATAAATAATTTATAAAATAATTTATAAAATATTTTTGCGAACATTTACATTTATTTTTTAAATAAAAAATAATAACTATAATACAAAGAAAAAATCTTCTTTTGCTAAATGTATCTCAGTATAAGTTTCTAGTATCCCGTAAAAATTCTTCCAAGAAAAACTCGCGGATTTTAAATCTCAAGAAAACAACTTCGCAAAGAAGAGCGATCATTAACTCTGGCTTCCAAGTCGACCCAGTTCAAAGCAGTTCCTCGGTAAGTAGTGTTTATATTGCGGATCAGGCGATTACTTTGACGAGAAATTCGTCCGAGCGAATCACCAAAGAAAAAAAAGCTGCGATCCAGAGATGTTGCGAACCGCGTTTTTTGATAGATAGACAGCGATGGTCTCTTGCCGGTTCAGGAGTCTCACGAAAGAGGATTGTCAAGAATGTCGAAATAGCAAATTAGGAAATTCCAAGGGAATTCATTTCTCTTTCTCTTTCTCGTTCCCACGGTTTGTTCTTACTCTTACCCTTCCTTCATATGATTTTTCCAAGATATTAAAAAATAATAATAAATCTACGCACATATATAAGTTATTTATTAATATAAGTTTTTAGCACCATCATATTTATAAATTTAACTTTAATAATATACCAAAAGTATATTATCATTTAATTATTTTTTTACACATTAATTATTTTTTTACACATTAATTATTTTTTATTATAAATATTATACATGATCTCGTATGACGTATGTGACCATCCTTATCATACAAGGTGGTTCACAATTAAAAACTAATAACGCAATAAATATAATATAAATCAGTGATATCAAGGAATGGACAGAGAGATACAATGAGAGAAGACAACTCGGAGACAGTTTTATTGTTACAACAACTAACAATATATCACTAGCACAACAATAGCGCCAATTTAATCATGAAAATAGTGAGCACTTGTAATTTCAACCACATAGTGACAAGATCAATTGATCATTCGGATTCTCATTAAAACGCCCGAAATAAAACCTTCGAGCTTAACATTCAAATGCAAAACGACAGTGAGTGACTTTTAGAGAAATAAAGAAAATAGAATCTTTAAAATATAATTACAACTCTATCGATCATAATTTTATTATCGATGTATGTACTCTCACTGCAATGTTTTTTGTTCCTCATTGCTGCTCGTCGTCTCTTGCTTCTTCTTTTCCTTTTCTTCGTCTTCCTGCTCCAAGTATTTATCCCATTTTTTTATTCGTGCTTCAATCTCTGCGTCAGTCTCTGTAATTCTGAAAGATACATTTCGATACAATGGTAGCTGCAATTCTTTCACTTTAAATAATGTAAATAAAGTATACATTAGCTGCAAGTAATATCTACAATTATACTATAATATAATATAATATTTATTGTTATAATTGAATAAGCAGATTTTATCCGTAATGAATAAATAATTAAAATACCACAAGAGAAATTTAATTTCGATTTGTGTAGTATAAACAGATCTGTCAATTAAGCAAAATATTTTTTGAAAACATCAATATATTATAAAATCGCGATAACATTTTTTTATACTTTATATTTTACAAATGCTATTTCAGATATGATAAATATATGTATAAATATATATATAGATAATATTATATATTATATATATCAGGAATGTTCAAGTTCGGAGTCTACATTAGCGACTATCGGTAGTGTTGACTCTGACGCCGGTATAGTAGAAATCAGTAACTTACTTGTACTTGGTCTTGCCGTCCCAAATCTCCGCCGAGATCTTTCTCTGACTGAACCAACGGCCGTTTAGAAGCTGTACACAAGCTTGCGCTTCTGCCGGTTCTCGGAATGTGACTTGAGCTACTCCTTCAGGATGTCTCTGAAAAAACAAAAGAAACACTGGATAATCCACAAAGTGTGCAAATCAAACACAAATCGTTTAAATCTATTAAATCACGTTTCAATAACATATCGTTTGTTAATAAAAAAAATTTTAACAAAAAACTAAATTAAAATTTATTACCTTATAATAAAAACTTATTACTTCAATTCCATTTTGCTGAATGATTGGTAGATTTGTAGTTCAACTAATTCAAGGATGTTTTCATATATTTTTTAGTCTTTAATATATAATTTTAATATAACTTTCATATAATTCGAATAACGCGTGCAAAAATTTCAGCAACAGCTCGTATCATCATATCTTAAAATTGACGTGTCACGCTTTTTTGAAGCCTCTTTTCGTTGAGGCTGGAATTTTCTGATTTTGATGTGGTTTCATATTCAGGGATTTTCGGGGTCGATTATTTCGAATCTGTACTCAAAAATTGAAAATTCGAAATAGTGGATCCAATATAACGGACGGAAAAGTAACGGAAATCATAAAGATTGTTCGATTTTGGTGAAATTAGGTTTATTGGTGATTTAGCGGGCGTTCGTTACGAATCCGTACTCAAAAATTGAAAGATTGAAATAGCTGAATATGGCGGACGGAATGTTACGGAAATCCTAAAGATTTTTCAATTTTGGTGAAATTTGGTATATTGGTGATTTAGGGGACGTTCGATACGAATCTTTATTCAAAAATTGAAAGTTTGAAATAGTTGATCCGATATGGCAAACGGAAATGTTACGGAAATTCTTAAGATTCTTCGATTTTGTTGAAATTTGGTTACAGGTGGTTTTTGGGGACGTTCGTTACGAATCCGTATTTAATAATTGAAAGTTCAAAATGGCGTTTCGATTCAGTTTTCTAAAATCAGTTTT